TGAGAGGCTGGACAGTTAGCTCAGTTGGTCAGAGTGCAGTGTTATAACATCAAAGTCGAGGGTTCAGATCCCTGTTCCGACCAGCTGCCAAACAAAACAAAACAAAATTGCAAACAGACTTGAGCCATCACACAAACATCCTGAGGTTCTCCGTCCTCCATGACTTCCCCTAAGTCAAAATTTCACCACTATCCAAGGAGTTCCTCTCGGCAGGAAGGCAAGACACCCTCTGCTGCTATCTGGGTCTCCAGAGCACCCCAGCAGTGGGCTGGACCAGGGCCCTGCTCTAGTGAGAGCAGGCGAGAACACGTTTGGTGAGCACCAGGCCCGTCGCCCTGCCTTCCAGCTGATGTAGGTTACCCCCACAGTGGTCTGGAAGCTGGGCTCCCTGCAAGCCCCAGAATTCCTCCTGGAGCACCTACCTGGCCCAGCCTGACCTCCATAGTACATGGGCACTGGAGCCTCTAGGCATGGCACTGGCATCCTGCCAGGTTCTCCTGGAGTGCCTACCCCCAAGCCTTCCACAGCTTAGTAGGCCCCACCAATTCCCACCCACAGCCCAACGCACCTCAAAGAGGCCCGCATTGGCATCGAAACAGCTGGGATAGAGGATGGCATCCTCCCGCTGGTGGAAGTGGGCTATCTTTGCTTCTAGATTCTTGTGGATGCTCTGAAAAAAGTGAGTGGGACAGGTGTTAATGCCTGTGGGGCCCATGGGACAAATCCTGGGAGACAGAGCTTAGAGAGCCACAAACAGACCCAAGGCCTGCGGCTTCAGCTTCTCCCACCTGTCTGCACCACATGTATTACCCCAGAGCCAATAGGAATCTGACAGATGGTTCCCACTGAGGAGTCAGGGACTTCCTGGGTGGATTTTTGTTTTGTAGTGGTGTCTAATGGTAGAATTATGATTGCTGATGGGAAAGGAAGATGTGTCTTCCTAACATCAAACTGAGTGCCTTTTCTGGTTGCTTAATGGCAAAGAAGGTTAAATTACTCTGGGTTCACTTGGGCCTCTAATTCTTAGATTTGAAAGCTGTTTGGGGGCCAGCCCCATGCGCACTCGGGAGAGTGCAGCGCTGGGAGCGCAGCAACGGTCCCGCCACGGGTTCGGATCCTATATAGGACTGGCCGGTGCGCTCACTGGCTGAGCGCAGTGCGGGCGCCACCACACCAAGGGTTGTGATCCCCTTACCAGTCACGAAAAAGACAAAAAAAAAAACAACCTTGGGGGCCGGCCTGTGGCTCACTCGGGAGAGTGTGGTGCTGATAACACCAAGGCCACGGGTTCGGATCCCATATAGGGATGGCTGGTTGACTCACTGGGTGAGCGTGGTCTGACAACACCAAGCCAAGGGTTAAGATCCCCTTACCGGTCATCTTTAAAAAAAAAAAAAAAAAAAAAATGGGCCGGCCCGGTGGCGCACTGCTATAATGCGCCGCTTGGGTGCCCACGCGGCGCTCCCGCCGAGGGTTCGGATCCCACATACAGACCGGTTCCCGCTCACTGGCTGAGCGAGGCGCGGGAGCAACACCGAGGGCTGTGGTCCCGTTGCCGGTCCCGGTCCGGTACGGGGGTGACACTGAGGGTTGCGATCTGTTGCCGGACACGGAAAAAGACAAAAAAAAAAAAGAAAGCTGTTTGGTCTGGGTGAGGGTTTTGTTGGAAAGTGCCTGGCTATTAGTCAGGAATTCTGCCTCCGAAATTCATTTCACCTTTACCTTTCCGAGAGGACATATAATGATAATCACAAGTAGTCAAGAGCATGAACTCCAGAGCCAAGCTATCTAGGTTCAAATTCTCTGACAGGCTGTGTGCCTTTGGGTGAAACACTTAACTTCTCTGGGCCTCAATGTCCTCATTTCAATAACAGGGATGAAAATAGCACGTATCACTTAGGATTGTTATGATGATTAATGAGTTAATACTCGTAATGTTCTTAAAAAGAGTACCTGACACAGTAAGCACTATATATATATATATATACTTTTTTTTTTTTTTTTTTTAAAAATGACTGGTAAGGGGATCTTAACCCTTGACTTGGAGTTGTCAGCACCACGCTCTCCCAAGTGAGCTGACCGGCCATCCCTATGCAGGGATCTGAACCTGTGGCCTTGGTGTTATCAGTACCGCACTCTCCCAAGTGAGCCACGGGCCGGCCCTTATAAGTTTCATGTTTACATAAATTTATTTTGTAACATTTACAAAATAATTAATAGGCCATATTTATTGAGTGCTACTATGTGCCAAGCACTGTTCTAAGTATTTTTAAAGTTTATTAACTAACTTTAACTTGTAACAATCCTATTAAGTACTATTATCTGCATTTTACCAATGATGGGATTAAGACACAGAGAGGTTAAGACACTTGCCCATGGTAACAAAGCTAATAAATGGCAGCACTGGAAACCGAGCTCAGGCAGAATAGCTCCAGAACCCTAGATCTCAATCCCTGCCTTCTGTTCTTTTCCTGTAGAGGGACAGGAGTAAGAAACTCTGTTCTGCAGGTAGGGAAATGAATGCTCAGAAAGGAAAGGTTTCTTGCCCAAGGCTTCTGAGCAAAACAGATTTGCACCCAGCCTTTCTACCAGACAGCTCTGGGGCTAACAGTGTACCCAGAGTCCTGGGATGGGATAAGCTGAGCTGGCTAAACCAGCCCTGCTGACTGTGGGAAACAGGCAGCTGGGGTCAATGCCCAACCATGGGAACAATGCCCCCCCCAACACCTGCTGTGTACCTGGGTCCCACAGATGAAGCGGACAGAGCTAAGGCCAGCTCCAAATTCCTTCATAGCCTGCAGACCTGCCTGGATCACCTCGGGGTGGCTGCTCAAGCCCAGGTAGTTGTTGGCACAGAAGTTAAGGATTCCTGAAGTAGAGGAGAGGAGATGGACACAATGGCTCAGGCAGGGCAAAGGCCTGGAAAGGTGATGGTGGTAGGCCCTAGAGAAACAGTCCAGAGAGGAGAGGAACCTGGATTCACTCTTGAGGAGGCAACAACCACACAGTACAACCCATCTGGGACACAGGCCAGGATGGGAAGCTGGGGCCCCCAGGAGGAACTGAATCTGACAGGAGAGGGAGGGGAGGAAAGGATTCTCTCTCAGTGCAGCACCTTGAAAGATGAGAGGTTTAAACTCTGGCTTTGAATCACATTCTACCCAAGCATGAACCCAGCCCTTCCTCACAGACTGCTTCTGTCCCTGAAGACCACCACCGACCCCTCATCTGGGCCTTGGTTTCCTCATGAGTAAAAGAAGAGCGCTGAGCCAGATACCCGCTGCAGTCCTCAAACTCCACAGTTTACTTTGCTGCCCGGTACAGAACCACATCCCCAAAGGGGGTGCCTCTGAGACCCCAGTACCTGATTTACAAAGCTCAAAGTGAACACAGCTGACCTGAGCAGAAAACCGAGGCTGAGGAGAGAAAGATTCACATAGCCTAGGAAGGGCAAAAACAGGATGGGAACGTGGGTCTCCTAATCTCCCATCTTTTGAACCTTCTCCAAGCTTCCCCTTGGGGAATCAGGGATTTCCTGGGACCTTCATCTTACAAATGAGTAGGACAGCACCAAGGACTCCGTGTTATTTCCTGGGCAGAAGGCAGCCTAGCAGGCCAGGCACAAATGAGATGGGCAGTGACCACTGGTTAGAATGAAATGAGGGACACCTGACAGGGCCAATTCATCATGTCATTTCTGCAGCAGCCCCAGACCCCTTGCTGGCTGTGACTCTGGCCAAGAAATGGGCCTCTCTGGCCAGTTAGCCAACCTTCCCACTTCAGTATCCCAGCTCTGCCTGCAGCTGGCTGGGGGCTTCTGAGCAAGCCGCTTCATGCCTCTGAGCTTCAGCTTCTTCGTTTGTTAAGATGGGATTCGACATTCCCACGTCTAGAGATCAGCAGGAGTCCACGTGCAGCAACTAGTGGAGGTCTTCACAAAGCAGCCGCCTTCCCACCACCCTTCCTTGGAAGCCGCCTGTGTGTCTCTCTTTTTCTCACATTCTCACAGGGCTGGATCTCGACCCAGTCAGTCCTGCCCTCTGCAGCAGAAAGGTGCTGAAGGGCAAATCACCTCCCTCTGTCGAAACGGGCTTAACCAGGTTAGCGTTAACACTGGGAAGCCATAGAGTCGGCCTGAGAGATGGGAAGGGGACCGGTAACTACGTGTGCAGGTGCCGCCCACCCCGTCCCGCCTCCAGGACCTCCATTCCAGCTCAAGCTCCAGTAGGGCCCTCGCACACTCGGCCAGATCCGACGACTCCCGGGAGGGGACGTTACCTACGCCGACGCCGTCCACATGGATGTGCGGCCCCTGACGGGACGTGATGACCCGCTCACTCTTCCAGGTGCCGGCCCCGCGGATCCCTTCCAGCTCCCCCTCCAGGATGCCGCGCAGCTGGGCCAGCGCTGACCGCGCGCGGCGGCCGCGGGGGGCCGGGTAGAGCGCCTCGTGCCAGGCACGGCCAGCCCACATCGCGCCCTCCTTGCCCGAGCGCACCTGCCCGCCCGGGTGCAGTGCGCACTGCGACCGCCGCTTGCTCACGTGGCCGGGGACCGAACCCCGGCAGCCAATCGGAGCGAGAAAGGCCCACTGGGGAGGCGGGTCCGGAGTGGCCGGGCGGGGCCTGGAGGGGTCCGCCAAGGACGAAAGTGGATTGATTTGTAAGTTGAGACAGCAGAGGTCGGTGCTGGGGGAGGGGAGGGGAGCGGGCGGAGGAAGCCGCGTCAGGGCCCAGCCCACCAGACTCCCCACCCCCCGCCCACACACCCACCTCTCGGAAGGAAAGGGTTGCCTGCCGGACCCCAAAGGCTCCGGAGCCTAGGAGCAGGGTGGGGTACATTCTGCACCCTCCAGCCCTAAGGTTTCCCGGTTGCTGTACAGCTCTTGGAACCCTCCCCCCCATTCGCAGGTGCAAACGCCTCAAATGTCCCCTACTACCCGCCCGCCCAACTTCTCCGCAGTCTCCTCCAGTCTTAGAAGAAAAACGCACCGATCAGGTTTTTTCCTTTTCCATATTTATTTTAAAGTTAAAATTACAAAGACAGCAAGTTTTTCCCGGCACAAATAACACTTGTTTAAAAAAAGGGGAGTGGGGGGAATGCGCTATTTTCCTATTTTATTAAAAATAAGAGAAAGTCAACTGTACAGGTTTTTTTCTCCCAGCTCCCGGGTGTGAAACGTTAGTGCTAACCCTAGAAGTCAACTGTACAGGTTTTTTTCTCCCAGCTCCCGGGTGTGAAACGTTAGTGCTAGCCCTAGATATATATATATATTTATATATATAAATACACACACATGCACACAGACCTAGCTCTGTAAAACTACTTAGCAAATTCAAAATCGACTGCGGTATGTCTTATTGTCCACTCCCCGCCCACTGACCCTCCCCCCATCTACAACTACTGAGAAAAAACCCAGAAATAAAGAGGTTGGGAAGTTTTAGGTGGCTGGGGGCGTGGCTGGAGCCCCACCAGACCAAGCAAAGCCACCTCTTGTACAGGAGGAACAAAAAACCAGGGAAGAGAAAAAAGTCCTCCTGGGACACAACCCATCAATTGTGTGGAAAAACCTAAACTTCAACAGGACACACTGAGGCACTTGGCTGACTCCCTCATCCCCCAAAGTTTCCACTCCCGTTTAGCAAGTGACTTTGCTGAAGCCACAAAGACCCTTCAGTGTTTAGTTCCTAGCTGACTGAGGGAAGCTACAGCTCCCCCCTCCCCTTTTCTAAGACAATCTGGAGGCCACAAGGGCAGACTAGCAGAAGTCAGAAAGAAACGGGTTTTGACCCCCAATGCTCACCATTGTGAGGTGGAAATCAGCCCAGGCTGTAGCCCCACCAGACCAAGCAAAGCCACCTCTTGTACAGGAGGAACAAAAAACCAGGGAAGAGAAAAAAGTCCTCCTGGGACACAACCCATCAATTGTGTGGAAAAACCTAAACTTCAACAGGACACACTGAGGCACTTGGCTGACTCCCTCATCCCCCAAAGTTTCCACTCCCGTTTAGCAAGTGACTTTGCTGAAGCCACAAAGACCCTTCAGTGTTTAGTTCCTAGCTGACTGAGGGAAGCTACAGCTCCCCCCTCCCCTTTTCTAAGACAATCTGGAGGCCACAAGGGCAGACTAGCAGAAGTCAGAAAGAAACGGGTTTTGACCCCCAATGCTCACCATTGTGAGGTGGAAATCAGCCCAGAGACCGTTTTATCTACCTCCATCCTTTACTGTCTGGCTGCTGCCACCCCACTTCTCGGCCAAAGGTTCAGAAATTCTCACAAGGGGTGCCCAATTTAAAGTTCACTGACCTTAAAAGATACTCCTACAAACCTTACAACTCCTGGGCTCCCTCTCACCTAGCC